TAGGTCAGCTCCGTACTCTAGGGTAGGTATTCCCCGTCCTTTGTAGCCCGAACATCTCCTGTTCATGTTCTGTCAACAAGTTTTACAAACCGGATATCGTCATCAGTCCTGGCTACGCCATGTTAGCGTCATCATGGCCACCACTGACAAAGAAAACCTGGGTGGACGTTTTGAAACGGAGACTTCACGAGTCAAGGGACGGCTGGATCCCAGGTTTTGATATCTACCCGTCCATTGTGTTTATTAGTCGGTCCATCTTCCACCACTTGGGTCAGTTTCTCCAGGTTCTGAAGATATTACATGAACACGAGATTTGCCCCCCTCCCACGACATGAAACAGGATACATGCAAAATAGTGTGACATGAGGACGCCAACAGGGCATGGTAGTGAAAACATGACAGAATAGAACAGGTGATGATGTGTCACAAGACGTTACAAGAACAACACCTTCAAGCCAAGGCGTGTTACAGCTTACGGTGCTGATACATCTTTTGTCCTTTGTTTTCAACACATTAACCGAGGCTTTTCTGTTTCATCATCTTATGTAATCTTATCAAGTTATGTAACACTACAGCAAGTTTTGGTGCAGACCCCATTGGAAAAAGTATGTTTTAGGTAATTATTATCTAAAACATTTCTAATTACCTAAAACATTTCTGACCTTTTAAAGTTTCACATTGCTCCACATGAAATAGCTTTACAGCTGATTTCATCTACTTTCCATAAGAAAAGCACAGGCCTTTTAGTTTTATTCCCATGTGAATAAAAGAACATGTTAAAACATCATGGGTGTCTGACAAAAGCATGATGTGTCATTCACTTCCTTAGGGCAGACTACACAGGAGGAACCTGGAAGTTGTCTTGAGCAGTGATGGAGGATCACTGTTTCTTAGTATTATTAATTATACTATTAGACTACTTACTTCTTGAATCCCAGGGAAAAAGTAGTACTGGGTAGAGTCTAGTATATATTTACTTTAATCTGAAATTGGACAAAATAAATAAATGACTGTATATAAGTACAATAGTTTCACAGAATATTACCAAAAGTGACTGGCATTTGTTTGGAATGAATATTAATTATGTATGGATAATATTATGTTCTTGTGATGCTTAGTGTAACTATCTAATATTCTTTGACATGAAATATGAATACATGCACACATAGTATTTTGTCTCAAGACCTTCTTTATATCTTTACAGCCCCAGTCCATGCCAGATGTGTGGCAACACGACATGTTTGATGGAGGTGTTGGAGGGGGTGCACGGAGGGGGCAGCAGCTAGGGGGGGCAGGCAGTGGCATCTCCACAGGGGGGAAACTCCTCATATCTAACCTGGACTTCGGGGTTTCTGATGCAGATATCAAGGTGGGTCATTTAGATAGTCAGTTAGTGTTACCAGTCATGGGTTTTTCTATCTAAGATAAAAAAAAAACAAGAGGTTGACTGTGAACAAATTTTCTCTTCCAGTTCTCTCAAGAAACTCCTCTTACTGCACTGTACAACTGTTCATGAACTTTAATAAAAAACTAAATCCTTTTTCTGATAAACTAGAGCAGGTTACTTATAGATGAGCTCTGAGTCCAAAGCACTGTTTGGTAATAAAATACTTTTTTTTTAAAAATTGTAACTGTTTCCCCACCACAGGAGCTGTTTGCAGAGTTTGGGAACCTGAAGAAGGCAGCTGTGCACTACGACAGGTCAGGTCGCAGCCTCGGCACTGCAGATGTCGTGTTTGAGAAGAGAGCAGACGCCATGAGAGCCATGAAGCAGTACAATGGTGTACCACTGGATGGTGAGTGAAACAAGAAGTAGTCCAAAGTACTAATTATGACACTGTGTGTATTTGTGCTCACTAGATGCAATCATGAACAGTGCTGGACTTAGGCTAATGAATTTTCATGCCAAGAATGTTTTAGAGACAGAAGAAATATAGATGATGATGTTACAAAAGAAATTATGGTCTTTTGGAATGAAAGGTGTAATTGATTACGACAAATGTGCACATAATATGAAGACATACATTATCCTAACAACCCATGCTGTATTTCTGTCTGTAGGACGGTCAATGAACATCCAGTTGGTGACTTCAAACCTGGCAGCAGCTGGTGGTGGTGGTGGTGGCGGCGGAGGCAGTGGAGGTGGTGCCAGACAGGGGTAAGACTTGTGTGGTTGTGAATTATCTATTTCTGGAAAACTACAGGAAAGCTTTAGTGATATGAGACAAATGCGCATTTGACAATTATACATAATGTGTGCTGAAAGAACATTTTGAAGAGAGGGTTGTTGTATGTACAAAGGGTTGGCTACAAGAAAGGAGCAAGAGATTTATATTATGTTAAGCAATGGAAAAGTTTACTAGATCTAGTTCTTCCACTCATAATTATAACTCACTTAGTAGTTAGCACTGTTTCCTAAAGCACAAAGAAGTGATGCCCAGTCATCCATAATTACATGTTACTTTAACCTTCCCAGACTTCTTACAGACATGCAACTGTTTTGAAAATTCTGTCTGAAAGTTTCAAGTCTTGTATTTAGTAATGAAATCTAGGATGAAATTATTCGTTGAATAGATATTGAGAGTAAAAGGTCTGATACTAATGATATGGGAATATGAGTTGTTTGGGTTGGTCTTGCACATGTCCAAGCCTTGCCATTCCAAACATGGATACTTCCCAAGTGTGGGGACATGTGCCCTGACCTAGAGAAACACACAGGATCACCACATGGCAGGTTACAGGTGTTGGGCACTACAAGCTAGTGTTCCATGTATAACACTGCCTACAGACAACAAACATTATTAACTGTATACACTTTGTTCATGGCATGGTCTAATGGACAATACTGTTGCGATAAATTTTAAGATATCCTTCCTTAGTTCCCTGTATTGCCTACCTACCTTATCTCATCAGCCCATTTACTATTTAGTTTTTGTATTGCAAAGTTCATTGATTTTCAGTACTGTAATAATAATTTGCGTAGTACTTAACTCAGATATGTAAGCAATGTACAGGAACGAATTGGCAATCAATGTACTTCACATGCGAGAAACGTTTCCAGTTGAGTTGTTAGAATTGATTTTTGATGAAAGATATCAACTGGTGCCAAAAATACATGTGATAGGCTGATTGTCTAACATGAATTCTTGTGTCCACAGCGGCGGCAGCTACGGTGGGGGTAGAGGACGCGGGGGCAGAGGCCGTGGGTTTGGGGGCAGGGGACGCGGCAGGGGCGGCCGTGGAGGCAAGAGCAGAGAAAACATCTCAGCAGAGCAGCTGGACGCTGAACTAGATGCATACAATGCTGGGGTAAGGACAGATTACTCCATGAAAGATATTGGTAGATAGCAGTTTTACTCCGAGGATGTAACAGTGGTAATGTGTACTTTGTCATTGCACTGGTGTCATATGACATAAGAGAAATGAATTTCTTGTTCTTTAGAATAAGCACTAAATACCTCCAACACTTAACAGCACTGCACATTTGAGATAGAAAAACTTCTTTGCAAATCAAAGATGAAGGATTGATCATGTTTGCTTTAAGTTGTGGTTTTGTAAGAACTATGTGGTTCCTTGACGAAAGTTCAATAATCTAACCATTGTTTTCTCTTGCAGATGAACAGCTAGATAACTCGTGGATCAAGTGGGAGGGGGGCACATCCATCAATCCTTACTTCAGACCACAGTCCCAGATTAGTTGGTGTTCTACATGTACAGTGACTACCGGAAAGGATACAACAGAAATGCACATTGTAACAGTGGTCAATATTTTGTAATTCCTTGGTGTAGTCATGACCACTGTGTTTCCATTTTTATGTATGACAAAACAGTGACTTCAGAGCATATGTGAAAAGAACTTCCATCTGTGTTATATTTTAATCTTCACAAGTCACTCTTTACTACATGTATGGATCTAGTAGACTGTCATGAACATAAAAATTGACACTTCCAAAGTCTCATGAAAAGATTCGGTCATCAGTAGTGTCTTCATTTGTACTTTATTCCACTCATATAGTTTAGTACTATTGTAGGTATGTACCTGTTGTTGTAAACACCATATTCCATTATACTATTTTTAAGTTGTTAACATGGAAGAGAAGTAGAGAAGGAAGGAAAATCAAATATATCCTCAGCAATATGTTGATTTACGACATATTTTGAAACTGTACCTTGCCTACATAGAGAATTCTTTTGATTTTAATTCTATACTTTTTAACTTAGGAAAATTTGGGCACCTTGTTTTTTCTTAACCTTGTGATGTTAATGAACATTAGTCTGTATGTAAACATACATGTACCTTGTTGTGTTTAAATAGTGGGGAAACTTTGTTACAGAAAGAAATACACAAAGCAAACCTTGTCTCTCTTTATTTGATGAAGTGTGTCAGTATTTCTTTTTCCTTTGTAATAAATTACAGTTTTAAAAGGTGAACCAAGACTGTAGAAATGCTGTTCATTTGTGGCACTACTCAATGGATCAAAAACATTTAAGTTAATGCCTGTCTCGGGCCACAGTTTATAGGAGTAAAGAACTTGGGAGTTCTCAGTCGATTGTCATTGTAAGCTGAAGACTTCTGAACCAGTTTGGTGAAGACCTATGTCGGTAGTTTTACAGTGGATCTAAGGCTGACTTGATCTTAACTCCTGTAGGCAGCACCAACATTTTACATACCAACAGTTGAGTTGGTTATTAATGTTATAATAATAATGATGGATCAGGAATTTTAAGATATAAAAGTGAGTGAAAAGATCGCCAAGTACAACTGATGTAGATAGCTGGTGGCAAAATTGAGGACAGTCTAGGAATAGTAAACAGCAGGTCTGAAATAAACTTGCATAAACATTCCTGCACACCAGCAGCTATGGATCGAAAGGTGACAAAAACTTCATTGTAAACCTGAAACATGAGAAAAATGTTCACGTGATAGTACACATGCCGATGTCCATTACCATTGAGTTTTAATGAGGAGACACAAACTACTTTGGCACAGATATTTCAAGAAAAGCAGGCAACTTTGTAGGCATAAACTGTTGAACAGAACACTCTATAACCCTTTCTGTCTGAAAAGTTAAAGAAATCTTTGATATGATTCCCATAAACGAGCACGCAGTCACGACATGAAGCACTGCCAAAACGCCTGCGTTCCTGGGACTACTTTCTTGATCGCCCGCATTCCTCCGGGCTGTGCTTGGGCGGAAACGCGGAGGACGATCAGACGTAGAGCCCCATTTCCGGCCGCCATTTACCTGACATCAGGAGATCGAGGGGTGGAGTTCCCTGTTGTTTCTATCACAAGCTCTACATTCCAGTAAGTTTGTCACCTTCTAACTATTTCACTCGTACATTGCTCCACTTCGTGTGTAGTTTGAAAGCCTACAAGTTTAGAGGATCGCGTAGATGTTAGTGATTTTCTCTATGGGCGAAGTTTGGGTGGCCGTGCTTCGGTAGCCGACTTCCTTCCTTGGGGAGGGCAGCTGCAGGCATGCATGACACAATATCACGGGAGGGCCAAGTCTGGAAAATTCGAATTTTCTAATCGCCGGTTAGTTGTGAAACCCTTGCAGTATTTGTCCACAAAGTCGTGTTAATGCCGCCGATGTTTTGGGCCTGAAGTTGAACCAATTGAAGTTATAATTTTTATGAAATTATGCAACTCTTTAGGGCAGGTGTATTAATCGCAAATTTATCGCCGTCTAGAAAAATGTCGACCGTTCAACACAAATTCCATAAGATTGCAAAGTGAAGGTATGAAAAGTTTATCTCAATAATTACAATATTTTCCATGGTCGGATATTTCAGCAGTGCATCGTCGGTAAGATTTGCTTTGCACTTTTGTTCCCATTTTCCGATGGTTAAACAACACGACTGGTACAAATTTGATTGCCTTGCAAACATGATGTCACACAAGCGCTGTAAAAGGAGGAAGTGTTGCTGATAAATTATACAGGCGTGAGCTGTTGGTAATGGCATGTGCATTAATGTTAGCCTTTTCATCTTGTTTGTGCATTTTATATAAGATCAAAACAGCGTAATTTGAAGAAGAAAAAAAGCTCATATTTTCCTATTTGAAATTACTGTTACTTGAAATGAATGACATTTCAGTGCATGTATTTTATTGTTGAGTTGTAACGTTAACGTTAAACTTGAAATACGTTGCCATAGGTTAACTTATGATGTGTGAAATAGTGAAAGTTTTGTTGACCTGTATCTCATTACAAGGAAATTAATTTGTTAATTGACATGGACATCAATTATGAAGTGATTACCGGTAAATTAAATGTTACATGTGCAGCTGTGATCAAGCTATGAGCTTCCTTTTTTTTCAATTCAGTTAAGTTACAAAGGACCATGCATATCCCATTGAACTATTGGTAGTGCACTTAAGTAAACTCAAGTTCCCCCAAGAAGATTTTTGGTTGCTCCCTGACAGTTGAGGCTCAAGGTTCAGTCACAACAGTCCTAATGGAGTGTACTGTGGCATGAGAGAATAGTCACTAAAACAAACAGCACCCACTGTCAGGTCAGAGCAAACTGTTGGATTTCAAGTGGGGGTGGCATGATGATAGGGCAGTTGTTATGTATGTCCTATGGATTCTCATTTCCTGCATGTATCGTATATGATATGGATTATGATTCATTCCAGCAATTCTCAAGTTGAAGTTTTCTCATACTGCAGTACATGTATCACAAGTTATATATACTGTACTGTAGAGTTCTTCTGTATTTTAATATGGTAGAAGATTAGAAGCCACAACATAAGGCAATATAGCCTTATGTCATGGCTTCCTCTTCCATGCTGGTATGTTCATAAGTAGCACTATAGCTAGGATAGACTAGTAGTATGATTTTGGCACTAACTTATCCTGTGAACATAGCACCATGCTGTTTGATTTTAGAAGTTCTGAGCTGAGGTCACCCTTCTGAAATGGGTCATGGCAGTGTTTGTTTAAACCTGTGGGGTGCTGCTTACTGTGGAATGTGCCAGGCCTGGTCTACTGTACAACAGCCTACTGCTAGTAATCTGTGCTAGTAAATCTGTACTGCTGCCACGACTATAGACATGTTAAACTAATAACAAAGGGATCTGTAATGTAAGGAGTTATGTCACTGTTGGATGAATACTCACATGTATCATCAATAGGGAACTGTGACCTGACACCTGTATGTAGTGGTTGTTAGTATGGTATATATTGGCAGTGGTTTGATTGATATACAGAAATTCCCAACAGTACAGTTTCAGAGAATTGAGTCTTTGGCAGTCTAGTCAGTACCAGGTATTGAATTTGCTAGGTCTTTAATGAGTTCTACAGTATATCAGGCTATTGAGTCTACTTCTCAGTTCTGATGAATGAGTGCATTTCTATTCTAATGTACACAGTAAGTACCAAACAATATGTTTCTTGACAGCAGGTCACAAGTGCCGTCCCCCTGGCCTTTTGCTTCCTGGAGACCTTTTTCCAAGGGTTACCAATTTGGGCAGCGTTGTTAGGAGGAGATTGAGACGTTGTATTGTGCTGGCAAAGCCATAAATCTCTAATGACTGTTAAACACTGTCAGCCAATCATGTACTGCAGCTATTTGAGGACCAACTTGGATACGATCAGAGGGTATTTATTGGTTGTGAAGACATAAAGAACAGTTCGATTTCTCTTCCAGTTGAGAATTAGGTACTAATAGGACAAACTTTTGTTACTTAGCACTGTGAAAGAATTAACTGTAAGTACAAGTATTGTTATATCTGTGTTCAAGATCTAGTATTGTGGTTCAGATTTCCCCTCCCTTTGAAGTGTAGAGGAACATTTGTTTGTCTGACATACATGTCCTGTGATTTGGGTACTATCTCTCCATCAGATACATGATCACAGGAAAGGGCCACAGAAAATTGATCTTCCAGCCTGCTTGACTTCACAAGGTCACAGTTCATGGTTGGGAGAACTTAGTATTTGATCATGCACCCCCTGAAAAACACAGAAACATCTTGTACATTTTGTGTAGTGTCACAGGAAGTCCCGCTATGCCATGTTTCTTGTTGTGCCAAACTCGATTCTCATAAAAGATTAAAAAAGGAAACAGTTGCTTCCTTTCCGTGCATTGGAAGTTTGGAACATGGCCAAGTGTGTCACATCATCTGAATTGAATGAGAACATGGACAGCTTCTGTACAAACATAAAATGAATCTCATTCCATAAAAACTGAGAGAGAGCTGTCAACTGTTCCAGACAGCCAAGAGGCAATTTTGTAAATAGGTCATTAATTTTGAGAGAGATGCGATTGCTGTTTGATGTAACCCAATTGGACAGACATGAGAGTCAGTGATGTCTGCCTGATATACCCAGGGGATGCACCGAAAAGGTTGGATTTTCCCTGGTTGCAGTTAGAGCCCCAATAAAAGCTATGATGTCACTAATGCATTAGTCATAGCTGGTGATCACAGGGCTATATTTGTGTCTTTTGTAGCCTTATTCTGTCACTGGACTGATGGCAATAACATATACTCACGCTTTTAGTTTTACTGTTACATGGTCAGACAAGGTACTAGTACTTAGAATAAAAAGGCCTCTGTAATTTGTCTCCTGCATACATACTATTATGAATTCAGGCAGATTTAAAAGTAAACAGGAATTTGGTGACAAATTGAATTTTGCCTCCATGCCAGTAAGAAATTTTGCTGAAAGTCCTTTTTCAAATCAAAGGTCTCAATCTTGTGGCCTTTGAGCTTTTCTATTGAAGTTATGATGATTGCTTTTGGTAGACTAGAGGTGATGTGATTAGATTGCAGACACAGTGCAGAAGGCAACACTCCAAGATGAAATGGCAAGGTTATTAGTTTTACACTGGCTTCAGCACGTACCACATACAGAATAGTCTGTAGGCTGCGCATGTATTAATCATGGTGTCCATGTTGGAAAAGAATTTCACTGCTTTGTTTGTGCGAGTATCAGGCTGCTTGACTACAAAATTACCATCAGTCCAGAATATTATATTGATGTACATTTCTACTCATGACCTTTTAACAAATCCAAATTGAAAGGGAAAAAAATGTTGAAAATCTCTATGCTTAATATTTGCTTCTTGCTGTGGAAATAACATACTCAGCTAGCTCTGGGCATTCACAATAAACAAGATACCACAGCTGCAGAGTGAGCCATTCTTTTCTGCCATTTGCTTTGTAAACATGAAGTTCTGCATTTTGGATGAAAACTGCTATCAGGTACATAGATTTCCACTTAGCCTGGATGCCTCTCTGTTTAGGTTTGGTCTGATAAGATTTTCTTCTGTCTCAGTCTGTCATTATGTCTTTTTCTTGTATAATGGATGTGATCATCAACATATCTTTGTTGCAAATTGCAAGCTTTATTATATTTTTTGTACGTGTGAAGTAAAGGACAGGTCTTTTTATTACAATTCTTCTAGTGTCTCCAGTCGACCCGTGGTGGAGACAGACACTTCTCTAAAATTTAAGTCAGGCCATCATGTAACAGATGTTACATAGACATGTGCTGTACATTAAGATGTAAGTAGGTCAATGCCACTTGAAGATCTGAGGGTTCTGATTCCAAGATGGCTGATCTGAGTGATGTCTTGAGAGGCAGGGTCACTGGGGTGGTAGAAACCACGTCCTGCCAACTTCCCCCATGCCCCTGCTGGAAGCCATGTTTGAGTTTTTAAACAAACATCACATAAACATGATAGGCTACAGCGAAATAGTGGCAGACTGTACTCCATCCAACAAACAGGGCTAGAAAATCACAGGACTGGCTGAGATGTTTGTGAGAATTAACGCTGATGTGAATGCTGAAAATGTTGTTAATCCAGTTTTCTACGTTTGGAAGCGTATTCAAAGAGAATGTCAGCATGAGGAGGAAGTGTGTGCCAATATTCATTATGTCTCATAAAGCTAATCAGCCCGACTAGCTTAGATCAAGTAACCAATTGTAGCTCAAGTAACCAATTATATATGATTGGTGCCAGTTGTTAATAGTGGTACATTTGGTCCAGATACTGGTAGTCCTATGACTAACTTGGGTAAGTTGTGATTATATTAGTTCACACTCATAGGTATTGTAGTGACAAAGAATAAATAGTGCTGACATAATATTAATATGTTCAGTGTACAGTCATCTTGAAATGTTTTAAACACTGCCCCCTTCCTTATTGCAGTAGTACTACACCAAGATGGCAGACGAGCAGGAGCCCCAGGCCATTGCTGAGGGAGAGGAGGAACCAGAGGAGACTCCCGGCTACAAGACTCCAGCCATGAAAACTCTGGATGAAATTAAAACCCTGGACGCCGAGGACGAGAGTCTGAACACCTACAAGAGCCAGCTGGGTCTCCAGGATGTGTACGCCCCAGCCGGTGAGCTGCTAGTTTTAACATGGCAAAATTGAGTATGCCACTAGATAGGGAGGAAAGTATGGAATTTAGTTCATCTTGTTCATTCTGTTACATTTTAGAGCACAAGCTTGTATCATTGTAACTGTCTACATGATGATATGATTATCTGATGAGATGTGTCCTTGTTGTACAGTCTGTATTACTACATGTCTATAACTGTCTGATGATCCTTGTTGTTTCCTCAGATGATCCAGCCAGAGTAAGAGTGTTGAAGATGGCTCTGGTTGTGGGTGGTCGTACTGATGTGGAGTTGGACCTAACTGGAGGTTAGACACCGTTTTTTTTACAGTTTTTTTTATTTCTTTGGTAAATTTATATATGATTTCTGCAGTCATAGGAGAGTAATCCAAACAATAGGTGTACATGTTGTGTATATCTGAATTTGCATATCAATTTGTTTTTTTCACATTTAGTATGTAAGAAGCACATTCTGAAATGCAACCCTACATGTACTTTTACAGCGGACCTGAGCACCTTGAAGGACAAGCCCTTCATCATCAAGGAAGGGGTGGAATTTAGGATCAAAGTTGTCTTCAGGGTAAGTACATGATCCCTTGACAAAAGTTCTAATCTATATTCCTGAAAGCATAAAGAAAAATTTCTGTACAACTCATTGTCATATGCCAGGGTAAAAAAAGATGAAAAATTGAATGTTTTGCTGTTGTGTGCCATATCATAATGTTCTGTGAAGTGAAAACACATATTAAGAAATTATTTCTCATTATTGTTAGGAGTGAGTTCACAAACACCTAACATTAAAACTCTTTTGAAGAAATATCTTGTCACTCCACCATAGAGAAAGATAGGATTTATCATAACATTGAGAATTCATTGAGATCTTGTTACCCCATTTTTCCCCCAGTGCCAACATGAAATTGTGACGGGGCTGAAGTACGTGCAGACAAGCACCAGGAAAGGAATCAAAGGTGGGTACCTTATGTAACCCAGTAGTACATGTACTCTTATCGCACATACAGTCACATGGGTGATGCTTGTGTTGATGCATTTAGATTAATATACTAGAGCAAGACTGGCAGGTTATCATTTAGCATGCTGCTAAATGCAAGATGTTCATCACCACGAATCCTTACCCAAGCAAGCTTAAGAGGGAGGACAAGAAGATTTCACATTAGCCCTGTACATTGTATGGGATTGTAATATTTTCCTCACATCATAGTACATGTGTACTTATGTTAAGACCTCTACAGGGAAACATGATAGTTTGGAGCTATTTTATGTCCTGTAACACTTTCTCTTCTCTGTTAACAGTGGACAAGTCCAAGTACATGGTGGGAAGCTACCCGCCGGTGAAAACGCCACACTCGTACATGACCCCGATAGAGGAGGCGCCCTCCGGCATGGTCGCTCGTGGCCACTACAAGGTCCATAGTCAATTCACCGACGATGACAAAAACATCTACCTGGAGTGGGACTGGGCGTTCGACATCAAGAAAGACTGGGAGTAACACATGTGAACCATGTCTGCATAACTTACCATTAGACACATAGAGTAGTGAGAAGTCTAGTCATACTCACTTTTTTTCTTTTTCTACATCGATATTGACCTCTGAGCTCAGCTCCCAGTTCTCTTGTTGAGGCAGTGGCCAGCTTTTTATTTTGATGTTTCCAACAATTGCTGCCGAAAACAACTATTCCATTTGTAATCATTCATGTTGGAGTTTTCTTCACCAGCTAACTCCTGTGTGAGAGGATTGGTAGGTGAGCTCAGAGGCAGGTTGCATAGCTGTATAAGCTGTAGTGAGATTAAGGAGACATAAGTGCATTAAATCAACTGACAATGATTGGATGAGCAAAGTAGATACTTAAAACAACTGTATGGATGTCTGTGTCAAGATAATCACATGCTTGAGGTTTGCTGAATATTACTTCACCCACCAAACAAGGAGAGAAGCAAATTGCTCAGTGATTATATTGGTGCAGTCTAATCATCAACTTAAAACTTGTAGCAATGGAATAGGGCTACCAGCTTTGTGATCAAACTGCAGTTCAAATAGCAACTGCTTGATGGCATTGTTGACATACCTAATTTAACTTGCACCAAAGCTCTACATATATAAAGCAAAATTTCTGCCTTGTAAAGAATCCAACAGAATCCATGTTGTCTGACATTGATTTACAAGTTCTGTTGAAATTGTGGTACTAATTGGAATACATACCACCACACTATTTTGTATCAGAATCAGTCATCAGATTTTTGTAATGAAAGATGTGGCATTTCTACGTATCCATAATCTCAAGTATGTATGGTTTTGAGAAGAGATATTTAGCAAGCAATTATATTGTAAGAGAGATTGTATACATTGGGTGTAGCAGAAAGCATTTCTTATTGATTATAAAACAGTAGGATCCAGTGCAAGTTATGAAGTATACATGTAGTTTGAAATCGTTGCTTTGCTTCTTTGTATGTGTGAATGTGCCTACATTTAATGTAGTTTTCTTGTAATCCAGCTTAGCAGCACCAAATAGCTTTCAAGGGGATGTCAGAAAATTTATTTTGTCTCCTGGGATGCCCTCTCCTTTTGATGATCTGGTCATAACTCTTATCAATGTTTTTCCTATGCTGTGTTTAGATCATTTCTATATTCCAAATTAGAAACTAAACATACATTTTTGTACATCAATGAGTATCTCTTTCTGGATAATACACTCCAGTCTGTTGCATGAGATATGGATGGTGTATTTGAGTAGACTGCTCCAAATTCTGCTTCCAAACCACTTCCCCACTCATTGACATACAAGTGTTGACAAGACACTTTCTTGGTAAGGACCACAGATTGAAAAGCTGTGCAAAGGAAATGAATCAGAAATGTAATTTCTTGGTTCTGTCTCTTGTTGGCCATCAGGTGTCCACTTCTCATAATTCCAGCTGTAACAGTAAAGTTCCTTGGTGCACACAGTTTGATTAAAAATGAAGGGGAAGAACAGGAAACAGACACTAGAAGAAAAGTTATCTCCGATCTTGTTTGATTTGAGGAATTGTTATTTAGCATGGGAAGTGTGACCTGATTGGTAATTGAAAAACAGGATATTTCAGTCCGTCCAAACATTTGAGGCATTTGATAAAACATTCCTTAAACTTAAAATGCATATTTTACTAATGACCTGTCCCATTTTCTGTTAGTGAACTATGTCATTGGCCACATTTTAAACCCAGTGGTAGCAACAATACTTGGAACGCCTAATCCCTTCAACATGCTTTGAAAGATTCCACACTTCAGTTTTGTTGGACAGACCTGCTAGTATTTGCCTTTGTCATCACAGAATTGCTCTACACTTTAGTATTCCACTGATGACAGAAAAGTGCCATTTTTCGCTGGACAATTATGGGTGCTACAAATGAGTATGCACAACCCCATTGCTCCTTGTGTCAGCACCAAACTGCCAAGCCTGCTATGTACTTGTGGTTGTGACATCTGTGTTCATTTTCCTTGCTTTATGAGTTGTACATTCCAGTCAGGTGTTGTCATTTGTGCATTGAGAGTGAATCCACTACCTACTATGAACAGGCTGATAGTTTGGGAGTAGCCTGGTGTGGGTACAGTGAAGATAGTAGTCCATGCCATGTAATGCTAACAACAGGAATGTGTATTGTATGTCAGAGTGGGTAGATCAGTCTATTTTGCTTCGTGTACTGCTATGTATTAGACACTGGAAGAATAAAAATGAAGAGGCTGCAAATTGTCGTGTTGTTTGATTTGTACTTGGTGCAGCAAATTGATTCTCTTTTTTTCTGTGAATACTACAAGATAAAATTAACTGTACCATCCTATTTTTGCACAGTTAAGTCATAGTCTTTCAAGACTGACTGACAGACAGATAGACAAGATATCTTGCATATATATTAATAGTACTAGTATTATAGTACTACCATAATAGTACTAGTATTCACTTATATTCTGGTACCAGATATTATACTGCATTTCTCAAGCTGAACGTTTAGAGAACTTAGAAACAAAGATATTATAAACAATGTTAATGGTAATTATTAATACTGAAAACAGCTCAATGGTTACACACGTTATATTGTGAGTACCAATGAACTGTGACCTAAACCAGCTTCTTCTTAATTGGTGAATACTTCCTTACTTTCTAATTTATGTCTCACTCCACTCACAATTAGTTATTATAATCAGTAATATTTTGCATTCTCTCTCCTGTTATTACCTTCACCGAGAAGGTTATGTTTTAGCTGTGAGGTATAATGATCGTGTTAGGTGCATAGTATCTGTTATATTTACATTTATCTTAAACTATCACAATCAACATGGCACACTGGCCATAATTCATGTACACTGATAACCAGTAAATATTATGTACCATTGGCACGAGTCACTCAAAAGATTGCGGATACATGTACCTCCACAAGTTGGTAAGTATTGATATTCAAAGCCCGGCACTAAAGTGGATGATAATATAAACATTTGGCATTCCGCATGCCCTGAAAGATTTCGACTTTATTTCGTCTGCGCCTCTGGTGTCATTCTTTGGTGAAAAGTTATGTCCCTGAAATGTTCTTAAAAAAACTCAAATCGTCGTCCAAAAGTATTTAATGCTACGTGTGCAAGATGTCGGTTATCTGAGGAATGAATCCCCTCGAATTCATATTTTATGCTACATGTATACACAGATTTCTCTTTCATTTCTCACTGTATTGTTTTGTTGCTTCGTCGTAAGACGGGGGTGGCTCGTCGCCGGTCCATGCGGCAGGGGTGTACGGTGGGAGGACGGTGTGTACATGTGATGGGGCGGACGGTGACGTCGGCGATGGTAGGACAACCGCGGGAGGGTACGGCACCTGTTCTGTAGGTCGAGTCATCAGGGAAAATCTGCAATATCAGCAAAGAAACATGTCAGAGTGACTACGAGTCGTTCAAACACAATTAGAACAACCAGTCGAGGGGGGGATCTTCATATATAGTGAAGCCTGTGTATACACAGTGTATATATGCGAAAGGTTCATTGTTGCATGAATTTTCACGATCATATCTACCACAAACTTTGCTCATTTTTTTTTTGCTTCAAACAACTTCCGCGTGTCTACTACATGTACAAGTACCCTAGTAGTCAATTTCGACGTCATTTTGTGAATTTTTTCTTCAAGTATTATACGTAGGCATAGTCGGTCATACATTCATATTTTCGACTCTCTGACGACCATGTTGACGCACATAATATAAGGATGACTGAATTGTTACGTCACCTTGAGTATGAAGGGTAGGACCAGGTCTGGGCGGGTGCAGGTGCCGCCATGTTAGGCCGCTGCGACGTACTCACAGCTGGAGCAGGGCGCGCTGTAACCACCTGCCCGGCCGGTACTGCAGTCACCGTCCGGCCCACGTTCTGTGTAGTCCCGCCTGAGATCGGTGTGTCGCTGTGCCACTGCACACACCTCACCAGACACACCACGAAACATGCGGCCAGCATGAGCGGACCGATATACATCGCCGGGGTGACAGACTCGGTGGTAAATCCTATTGTCGTCACGATGAAGCCTCCTAGACACAGAGCAGCAGCAAAGAGGTTCTTAACCAGCTCCGGGTCCAGTCTCTGAGCGATGGACAGTCTGGTGGCACTCGTATCAGTGCCTGTTGTCGGGTACATGATTCCTGTCCACAGTACTCTTGTAGTCGTCGATGTCACAAAAGCTGTAGCCTTCTACTGCCACAACAGAAGCCACCAGCCATGTTGTATTCGTGATAATGAGTCATTCTAGTAACTAGCCATAATTATGGCACCCAAAATTCTTACTGAGAGACGGAATGTCTAGTAAACAGTCTTCAAAAAGTTTCAAATAGAGACTATTCGAACAAAAACTGTGGTGGTCCCTGAACGATTGTTCAAACCTGAGCTGCCAGGGCATGTCGGGATTGCCAACTAGTGCAAGAAACCCGAAAACTGCCGCAGGGCAGATCGACAGTCAGGTGATGTTGAGTACAACCTACCCATCCAGTTTACCCGAGCTTTCACGCATTAAAAGTGATGTGTGCATGAATATAGGTGGTGCTGGCAGGCTGCCACGGTGTTACACGGGCTCCTCGCGCGGTTCCCAATTAGGCTGGAGCTAGAGACGAAGAGAGCCCAAGATCCATCTGATGCGCTGATTGATTCCCCAAAAGTGAAACAAAGCGCAGCTGTGACAGAAGAATGATTACACTTCAGGGGAAATAGATTTAAGTTTGTCATTCGAGTATGTCATCTAAAAAGGGGTCAGGCATTACAGATTTTAGGTCTTTTCCCAAATTTATAATTAGTATGATGTATCTCCCTCCCGGGACAAGGAAATTGTTAATCAAACTACTTCTACTTTTTTTGTTGAGTAATTCTCCGTTTTTGTTCAACATTTCTCCGTTTTGAACCTACTCAACTGTGTCCGACTATGTTCCATCCACCCAGCTCAGTCGAGCAACATAGGTACGCATTAAATTTGACAGCAATTGAGTCAGATAATGCATGTTGCTACGATTATGTTGCTTTTATTTCAATAATCATTTTGGAATATAAGATACATACCTTAATTTTTATAGAAACTTTTTGCTTCATAAAAACTAATCTAAGGAAAATAAAATATAATCTCTGTCTTATAAGTCTAAAGTCGTGTGTGATCATAGAAGTCTGGATAAATATAGAGACGTATACATTGTTCTGTAAGGCACTTTATAGTGGTATTTGTAGGGTGTCTTTAGCACTTGTAGGTTAACGGAAGCCGACGTAACTAGTAATTTTCGATCAATAAAACACCATAACGATTCGGAGCGGTCCTAGCGGCGTGTGAAAGCATAACAGCAGTGTGTGTCAAATTTTACGTGCTTTCCTTCGATAATACATAAAGAATGACTTATTCACGTTTAAACTATTTCTATATAATAGATGAATCCAACTCTGCAATGTCCGTAGAATTTCTTTCAAAACGAGGCATGCTCCGCCTTGGCAAGGAACCAAAAACTGCCGGTATAGTGGGCTGGGGGAAGCGCGTATTTAATATTTCACAAGAGTCGGAAAGGTTCAATCGGCATCCGGTCACGACTAGGTGTTTATTCATTTCCTCCAATTTTACCTGTATACCGATATAACTTGACCGAGAGAGTAATCTTAGTACGGTGTGCCAACCGACACCCCAAAATTACCATTTTCCAAGAAAAACGGCTTAGCTAGCCCTTGAATTGGGCCCCCATTTATCTGGCTACAAAGAGGGCGTCACACGCTCCCAAGTCATCCTTGCTTATCTCAATCAAGCCTCAGGCTTACAATTGGAGACCACAACATCCACATTGCACTTGTCTGTAATGGTTCATGAGCCACTGTTGTAGAATGTGGATGTCCCTTGATGTTATACATCGTCACTTCTCTCGTGTATAACGTGCATAACTTCGTCGTAGGACGGCGGCGGGTGGACGATATCCTCGTCTTCCTCTTCAAACACGTCGTCCAGATCCTCAGACGAGGCGGTGTTGGTCGGGTCGACTGGGGTGTAGGACGGGGGAGGATGAACGATGTCCTCGTCCAAGTCCTCCAAGTCTTCCCTCGCGACCCAAGGGTCATAGTCGCTAGTAGTCTCACCAGTATCGGTGCAATTATCGTTTGGAATTTCGACAAGTGTTAGAACAACGCGCGGAGCTGGCGGAGTCTCCGCCGAGGACGTGGCCTCTCCAGGGCACTCCTCTTGATGTATAGTCGGCTGATCGGGGAAGCTGAACCTAGACATGCGGGAGAAAACATCAATTTGTATAAAAGATCGTAACCGGATAGGGGGTGAGTGATCTATGGGCCGTTTGCGAAGGAAATAAAATATCAACATATCAAATTACATGCCCGTACATGCGTGGCCGGCAGGTGACATCTAGGCCTTGATGAATAATGGCTTATTTTAACAATATCAATAACATGAAATTTGTATTGTTCAATTTTCCAGGGCATGATAAAATTTTCTATTAAAATATTTACGCTTCGTAAATCATTACGAAAGTAAGTATTCATCAATCATAAATATAATCTTTTTTGGGTGGGGGACCATGTTTTTCGCTTTTTTTTTTTCGTTTTTGCTTTTAGTTTTTCGGGATTTACGGGTGATGATTCAAGGAGCCATACACTACTCTCAAAGCAGAGCTTTTAATATATGGCCTTTTTTTGTCGCTAATCCCACCCGTCGGTGGCCGGCGACCTTCTCTGGCTAATGGATACTGCCTGGCGAATTTGATACTTGTCTTTTTACCACCGAAAGGGATCTGCTTGGAGATTACCATACACTAGAGTTTAACTATAACAGCTATGAAGTTTGCACAGGCCCGCCCACGCAAGAGGAAATGCAGATCATTCCATTCGGAGCTTTTGTGGGGGTCAAAGTTTGATATGGTTGTTTTGTTTGTATCTAACATTTGCCTTTATGACACATGTCACCGTTTTTGACATGAATACATACACGAGCGTGGATAAAAACTGAAGCTTAGTAGTTCCGTTCTTGCCTTTCTAAGTGAAAACAATGCATACGCGGTGTTAGTATACTGTATAGGTCAGTTTGTTTTGCTGTGCTCGTACCCTTGTTCGTATCAATATTGATACAATATGGGTAACCTACAGCGATTCGATGTGTAACGTTATTGAATATCACCTTGCCCGGGCAGTTTTTACTGTTTCAAATGAAGGGGAAACGAACGTAGCTTGTGGTGTAACAGCTGGTGCTATCCAAGGACGCACAGCCCCCCTCCCCCATAAACATAAGCTTTTAATACCTGTTTTCATCCTCGTGTACGATCGTATCGTAACTTGGCGGCGGTGAGAAGCTGGCCGGATCCGGGGAGGCCGGGCCGCAGTCTTCACCTAGTTCTACGTCAATTTCTGTGTCGTTCTCGTTATTCTGAATATAAAGGTTCCAACCACACGATAACAACATCAACAGTATAGAAACACCGATGGAGACCGGACCGACGATAAGGAGAGGGTCTCTTCGGGCGATGGCTTCGGGTTCGCCGTACCCGTTCGCCGTCATGATCGCTCCGGGTAGGAATATCAGGAATGCAACGAAGAAGAGAGCCATGGGGCCCGGGTTTTCGCACGGACATCCTCTCTGTGCCCGCTGGCCGAGTGTGCTGACCGGGGACAACACGACACCCTGTCCGCCCTGACGGGACACGTTCGCCGACACGCGGAGACGGCTGAACTCATGGCGCATTAGTCGGTTCCTGGTCCGGTAATTCTCGCCTCCACTCGGTCTGCCTGCCCGCCGACGCTCGTCTGGTCTCGTCCTCCTTCCATTAGACTGACCGTTGCCGTTGTGGCGCCGCCCTTTCCCCATTTTCCCCCATTCAGCTACTTACATGTAGTCCCACGGCGGGAAAGTTCACTGCCCTCCCCACGTCAAAAAAAGGGAAGTGCCGCCTATAGCCTTGGCGTCGCTATCAATCAGACCAAAGTAAACCTCCACAAAAGGCCTTTTCTTGCGTTCCAACACGGCCTTCTTCCCCTCATGATTACCACAGAGATTTGAGTCAACTCGGCATGTTGACAAGACAGTCTCGCGCGGCGCAGTTTTCTCCCAGTCGTCACGTAAACTTCTCGTCGAGCTCGACTCTACTTGAGTAAATAATATTTGCGTTACTCGTATGACCTTTGACACAGGGGCGTCTGGAAGTAAAGCACTTGGTTCAAATACGTGCATCAGTCGTTCGCTGAAAACAAACTAGCTGATGCAAAAGGTATCAAAGCAACATATTTGTATAGGTTCACTGAAGATGCTTATTTGAAAAGTAACTTGTAAAATTATGTGCTTTGAGAGCAACCATATATACATCTGGGTGCCGTCGCCTTCTTTGCTATTGTTTGCAGAAACAGGATATAGTTTTACAACACATTTAATTGGTGTAACAGTATGGCCGTACGTTCATACACAGGAGACCAAAACAGACACGTTCACTAGTATTAACTACTCAAAATACTTTATTCAACGTACCATGGGCTATCTTATATTTCCTAATGGCTTTATATCCCGTTTTCATACTTGTGAGGTTAAAATACTAGTAGTACGAAGGTTCTAGTAGGAAGGTTTCAGTTCACCAATGGCACGATTACAAGATGACTGTTACTATGAGAGTAACTTGAGTATGTGATGGTACAACTTGAGTAACAATGCATTTTGAGTTTTTAATGTTTTCGCAGTCGACGTCAGTAACAGTCACATTTTATGAACATTTTACATCTACCTTTACATCATAATTAATTACATGACGCTACCTGAGAACGTAACATGAACGGGAGTAACGTTACTGATATAACACCACTTCAAGGTTATGTACACTTGTTTGATTCATGGAAGACGAAGTCATAACGAGACATGTCAGATATCTACTCTCAGACAATTATGTAGATATGTATCTAGTCGTCAATAATTCCGTGGAGGTAGAATCTCCAATCCTACCTCCATGATAATTAATAAGTAATGCAAACTGATAGCGACTTCAACACTCAACATATACATGTCATGTACACAGTCACACAGATTATCAGTTTACAAATGTTGTATATTATAGAGAATATATAGTCCATAGTCAAAACTCTTTCCATACATGCTTCTTGAGCCAATGTACAGTATAGCGTATTGAATTATCAGAACGTTTCAACTTGAACCCAAGTCAAAAAGGTTGAGTCCTTCAAATTAAACTCCTTCTCAGTTTATAGTCACGCCATTTTGTACAGCGCCATCTCCCATGATAGTCGCCAAGCTGTATTTGCCGTCGGTGTGGACAATGTAAATGTGATAATATCTTCGGGAAAATTGGAAATTCCTGGCGACACTACTGATCACTGAAGCGCGAACGGATAAAGTGTTCCATGCCCTGTGCTAGCTCCCTGTGCTAAGCCTCAACTTTAACAATAAATGTCTAAGATAAACTCTGTGGACGTGCGTGTATACGGAATGAGTATATTGTATAGCTGCATGTCAAAATGCTGGTATTAGTCTCAGGCAGACAGAGGGTTTGCAGCAACTCTGCGTAGCTAGCAGCAGGGCTCGAAATTCATTTTGGGAATAGGTGCACTGGTGCAGCCAACCTAAAAAAATTGGGTGCACAAAAAAACTTGTTGGGTACTATTACAATGCTTTTATTATTTTTCTGACTCTTGTTAAGAATATGCTGTATAGTACTATACGTTTGACATTTTTACACATGTAAACCTACGAAAATATTTGGGTGCACCAGAAAAATAGGCACACAGGTCCAAATTCGGGTGCAATAATAAGGTGCAAATGCACCCAGTATTTCGAGCCCTGTAGTAATAAGGTTAGTTCCACATGAAGCAGGTGAAGACAGTGTGGGCGTGGATGTACGTCCAGATCCACTAACACATTATTGGTTTAGAGATGATCATGATTCGTTTTGCATCGTCCCTTTGCATCGACCTTGTCTGACTGCATTAGCTTTTGCGCTTAAGAAAATAATCGAAGTCTTCTTTTTTTTGTTAAGATTACGAGAACGTCACAATTGGGTTCTTTGAATCGCAGATTTGACGACGTCCTCGTAAGATGGCGGGATCTCGTCTTGAGATGCTCGGACGTTGGTTGTGGAAGATGCTCGGACGTTAGTTGTAGGAGATGCTCGGACGTTAGTTGAGAGAGATGCTCGGACGTTAGTTGTGGAAGATGCACGGATGTTAGTTGTGGGAGATGCTGCTCGGATGTCACTTGTAGGAGATGCTCGGACGTTAATTGTGGGGGATGCTCGGATGTTAGTTGTGGAACTGCAGGATTTCAGCGACAGACGGTCGGACAGGCGGTCGGCTCCTCCGGGTTTTTTCACCTCCGTGGCCGCCCTGTCGTCACGTTTGGGCGCTTCCAAACGCACAATCAAGGGACTAGGCGGGAGTAGAGCAACGAGATTTCTGAGGGGGAAATATTAAAAAAAACTAATAAAAAAGCGCCCAATTTATCTTGTCCTTACCAAAGGTCAGACTGGATGCTTAGGTAACTGAAATTGATGCACAGAAGCGATAGTAATGTATCAGGTCAGACAGTTTAGAAACCTGAAATCTACCTAACTATAACACGCTTATCAGTGAGGTCTTTCCGACATGCGTGTGTAACATATGTTCTACGCGTCAACATTTGAAACAGCGTCGCAGATAGGAAAAAACGTCCCCCAGGGAATGACTGAACATCGAAAAAGTTTTCTAATCTTGATCAGAAGATGCATCGATTAATAAAGACAGGAAAAGGGAGTCATGTTTCAATGTGACTTATGGGGATGAAATGGAGATGAAGAGATTGGAGCGGCCGCCCGGAGGTAGAACGTCGGCTTCTTTCATCTCTCGGAAAAACCACTTAGATCGAGATAGAATATGTCAATGGCAAGCAATTTGTATCCATTCCTACCACGACGGCTAATGCTGATTTAATTACGTAGAGGTCTTTGATGTAGTTTAAGTAATATATGCCCCAGATCTATTTAGCCGACGCATAACGCGGTGGTTTAGTTTGAATTAAAAGGAACGTCCTATTGTATCGACTTAAGAGTAAGTGTGGCTAAACGCCCTCAGTGCGTGTGAGTCTGAGGGGATTACTAGCTGGATATCCCCAGAACACCACATAATTTTGGAGAATTGGATCACGTATTGCAGAATGTGCTTCACATGTAAAGGAGAGTTGTATGGTGGCTAACGTTGGTTGAAAAACGCGGCGGACGTGACTGAAAGATTAATCACACAGCTTTGGAACGACGCCGCGACTTCATGGACGCTAAATGGCTGATTAATACATCAATTTTGCGGTGATTTTTTTGTCATTTTCTCATTTCAAACCGTTTATGACGATCGGCGCTCATAAACACAACACTTCTGGTTCACCCCTTTTGACGCGCGTATAGGAATTGCTGTACATAGACTATAAAGTCTGAATATATCTCAACAGGTAAGGCATGAGGCACATATTCCGTTACAAAACGTGCTTCTATATCATTAGTATGGATACTATGGCATTTACCTTGACGAACCGTGGGTTGGAGACGGTCCCCTCAGCTCGACTGGGGACGCTGCTGGAGCTAATGAAGCTGAAGAAGCGGCTGTGACCAGCTGGCAATCCCCCATCTCCCGTCCCCCATCTTCACCTGCTCCGGAGCCTTTTTTCCACTTGGCCATACTCAGACAGCAGTTGATTCCTGTCTCCCCCAGAATGGCGAGCAGGCCGAGAGCGATCATAACTTTCCCTCCCACGGAGGAGAGATAGTCGTTCTTCAGTACGAATATTCCTCCCGCTAGGAACAGGATTCCGAGGAAGGAGACCCAGCCCGCAAAATGTTTGGGCACGGGGTTTCTGAAGACGAAGGGCGTGCCCTCTTGATGAGACGACGAACAAGGCTGCGACGGCTGCATTTTTACGCCCGAAACAATCTCCGGATCACTCCAAACCGAACCCCATCCTTGTCGAGCCTGGATGCACACTGATGTTGTTGTTGAGCAAGAGATTTTTTTAAGTACGTTGCGTCGGGCTGGCCTCAGCACGATATATCAAACGCCTGTATTTAGTCACAGAATACTAAGTACGAGAATGTTCCCCGACTGACAACATATGCCAAAGAAAAACCTTAAGGTGCATGCATGTAGGCTACAATATAGTAAACACAGAAATCAGTAGCAATCCAAACACTGTACAACTGAGGCAAATAGATTTATAAAATAAAATTTAAGTCTGCAATCACTTTGAATTCGCAGATTAGATTATACGTAGCAATTTGTACATATGTTCATCATATAGAAATTACATCATTATATACATTTATGTTACACTAGAAAATTGCAATCATCTGTATTGGCAAAGCTGACTTGGAAGAACAAGTAATAGATTGAGGACAAGGCAAATTACCTACAAAACCACAATTTCTTTATAACAAAAATGAATGCGATGTGTCGCAAATTAAATACAAAACCACAATTTTATTGCTAAAATGAATGCGGTGTGTAACGAATTAATTTCCTTTTTATTACAAAAGTGTAGAAAACTAATTGCAAAGCTACGTCTTCTTCTTACAAATTGAATGCGAGGTGTATAATGCTTGGCTGCACAAGTTCGTTTGAATGTTCAAACACCTAACAGAACGGGTCATTGACTGCAGAGGTCTATTTGCCTACTGCCACTCTTTAATGCTAGCAAGGAATACAAATAGATTTGTAATGCGACATATGCTCAGAAAATATGGAAACACAGTATTTATTTTCTCCAGCACCATACATGTAGCATTCTAATGAATACCATTAGCACATCTAAGCCTTTTAGATCTCACCATGAAAATAAGACAATTCCTGAGAGGTTCGACTTTAATTTGACACAGCATCCTCGTAAGATGGAGGAGGCGGTTCGTTCCCGGCATCAGGCCGGGTTAGCGGGACGTCCTGCGGCGGTACGGCTGGGTACTGCTGAGTGGAACGAGCTTCGCGGTACGTGGGAAGGTCGGCGCCTTGTGAAGTAGCGTTCTGTCCGCCATTACTCGTACCTGGGCGGGAAGGTGTGTTGGAATTCGAAGTGGCAGCAGTAGTTTCGGGATACAAGCTGCAGAAAAAGGGAACGTAAAATGTGGCGATACGCCGGTTTACAAGAAACGATAGGTTGCAAATTAAGCGCAGATTGAAAGTACAGACAGCATGAAGAAGTACTTGTGAATGAACGCCCCATATATTTGCTAACCCGTTTTTTCATTACCTAGTATGCAAATGTCTTACAATATACGTAAGTCACATTTGTCAAAAATATGACATTCAAAAGAATCCCATACACAACAGAGGAACAACAAACTTTTATGACAGACTTGATTGAACAAACGAAGATACTGTGGTTTTGTAGAAAATTTATGTGCTTTACGTCTAACGTCTTATACTTCAGAGATATAAAAGATACCAAGTCAGCCGACTTCACTTGTATGCGGATCCTGGATCGTTGTTTAATGTGGTCTGCGTTGTACTTGTATACTGAAATGTACATCCATGATCACTATATCCAAGCTCTTGCATTTGGTGACAGTTTAGTAACCTGTCTGCCTGGCAGTGTCTGCCTACTAATTATTCTAAGCTTCCACCCACCAGCTAGTCGGCTATTGGCTAGTACTAATACCTTAGGTAACTGAGCTATTTCCCAAATTAACGTTTGGCATCATTGTCATGTCTGTTACTGTTTTTTTTCCATACTTTTAACCTTCACCTTATTCAAAATACCTTCGGAAACTTCATGAACAGATAAAGAAATGAACGCGTAAACTATTGCTACATGCACGTAACTTCAGTATCAATTCACCTGTTGCTGGTCTGACAAGGCTGTTATGTAGAATAGTACCAGTAATGTTTAGACCAATATTTTCTTGGCACATTGTCTTCGTGTACGTAAATGGCTGTACAATGTATTATATAAAGGTGTTGACACTCGGATACGTACTTGAGAAGTGCGGTAGGGGGTACCCCAGGTCGCCGTTGGTTGGCCCGTCTCCTGTTTTCGTTCTGAATGCTCACACAACAGTTGAACACCGGGTAACAGATTATGACTGGTAACGGCAGCACTGCCAACACTATGCCTATCGCCATGGGTTCCACACTGAACGCAAGCGCCAAACCCACGCCCAGCCATACCACTGCCGCGATGAACACGTAGCGAGCGTATCGTAGTCGTTTGTCGTCTTCTTCTAAGGCCTGAAATGTGCGCCATCCGATCATTTTACGACATTGTACTTTGTACCAACGTTACTGGTCGTGCTGTTGTCACTGTTAGTAACACATTTCTTCGTGCTGTAGAGTAAGAACTGCAGTGTAAGTTAACGTTGAGTCGACGGGTTTACATTAATAGAAGGATTTGGTGCGACGTACTGAGTTTGACTGAATGTTGTTCAATGATCTTCAAGTCGGACAGCCTCTGTAACCGTGAAGCGCTTCCGGGTTCGAGCGGAGTGGTCTCACATCGCAGTTCTGTTCGTTGTTTACGGACAGGTGTCAGCTAGGTAACCATAAAAGTAAGGCCTTTTCATGCTACGTGGTTAGGTATTCTGTCCACTACCGCATTTTTTTGATACGTATAGATCATGGCATGCTTAGGTATAATGCGCTATTACAATTCTAGCAGCGCTTTGAGGTGAAGTAAGCTAGGTGCAGTACGATTAACCTTTGCAATAAGTCATCCGTGACAAATAGCGCACGGAATGAACCAGTACCCTTCCTCATTATAGTCACAGTTTATGTACTAGCTTACCCGTTAAGTTACGGTTAACTCTTTCTTTTTCTAATATTTCACTACTTTTTTTTGTAGCACCCTTGTAGACGTTGTGAGGCAGGCGATATTGTGGACCGTTCAATGCCATGATCATTGGAACTGCAATGTGAGACAATGTACACAAGGCTGTAGGGAGAGGAAAACAGCAAGGCGGCCGTGACACCGTTTCGGACCCACGTCAGCCATGTCCACCATCATTCAGTGGCGCTGTTTCGCGCCAACAGAGGACGACGACAAGCGGCTAAAGTACGCTCGCTACGTGCTGATCTCGGCCGTGCTTGTCTTGTTTGTCGGCTTGGTGCTGTGTGTCGCCCTCCCCTCCCTCTGGGGACTGTCCCTGGTCCTACTGGCCCTGCTGGTCATGTTTGCTGTAGCCATGCTCAACTGTTATGTGACCCTGCAGAGGAGACAAGAGAGACTTCGGAGATCTGAGGCGGCAGCAATGCATAAGTACGTATCGTGTTACCTCACTATTTAGTAAGGGCAGGTCAGCACTACAGACAGTATTGCCACCTGTATGGTTATCTAGTCAAAACAAATTAAGATAGAGAATAATGTCTTGACTTCTTGAAGCATGGAAATTCACTATTGTTATATCTTGGTTCCATTTTGAAGCATTCTGCAGAAAATTTGTCTTTCCTGTCAACAGTGTTTCCTGACAATTGTACAAACGGGTATTTTCTAAACAACTCCGGAGGTTTAGAACGGTTGTCTGTTTGCCCCGGGCTACCCCCAAAACTAGAGGGTGTTAGGTGTTAACTAGAGCGCCCAACAGGTTATAGATGTGAGGAAATAAAGAGTGCATACATCTGTTATGTGTGTTGGATTGGATACTACTAGTTTTTTTATTAGAGACAACTAGTTCTGAGACGTTCTAAAAGTGCTCTATCTCAGTTTGCCCGTAATGTGAGAAGGCAATTTCTGTGTATTAACGTATATATCTGTCAACATGTATTCCCCCCATCAGCTTGTATGCCGAGAGCGCTACTCCCACCAACACTGGCACGGGCCGGGCCACGGGTACGGGTAACAGTGCAGGAGACGATACGTTACAGGTTGATCTGCCCACCTACCACGAAGCCCGGTTTCAGACGTACCCAGCCGTACCGCCGCCTGACGCCCCGCCGGTCCGCCCTGATGCAGCCGGCAAGCCCGAGCCGCCGCCTCCGTCTTACGAGGATGCTGTATCCTCATAGAGATAAAACACGTCGGGTACAATCATCTACTCAAGTAT